CATAGGTAAATGATTCTTAACTCATTTCTTTCAACCTATTTCATCTTTTTACAAGATTTCATCCTAGAATCTACGATTTTTCATGGTAGAATTGGGTGTTTTCGATAGAACTTAGGAATTTCGAAATTTGGGGATTTAGACCTCAAATTAAGGTTGGATTCCAAAACCAGTTGTATATTTGGGCTCGGGGGTGAATGGGTAATCAGGTTTTGGTCCAAATTTCGGGTTTTGACCAAGCGGGCCCAAGGTCGGTTTTTGACCTTTTGGGGAAAATATTGGGAAACCTATAATTATGCATTGGAATTGATTTCTTTAGTATTTATTGATGTTATTAAGTTAATTATGACTAGATACGAGTGGATTGGTGGTGGAATCGAGAGATGAAGCGGTAATTGAGCTTTGAAATACCTGTTTGCTTGAGGTAAGTGTTTGGTCTAACCTTGACTTGAGAGATTAGGGATCCCCAACTTATTTGCTATGTGAAATTCCATGCGTGGGGCGTATAGGTGTGGTGAAGAGTACTTATGCGTCGCCAAATTGTCTGTTTAGCCTGTTCCATTCCCCGTTTCCTAATAATGATTTTCATGTCTTAACTGCTACTTGCTTATTGATGCTTCCATGTCTAATTGCTTCTTGTTAAATGTGGTTTTCTCTATTGAAGGTATTAATTGTTCCGTAGTGTCATTATATTACATTGTTGGTTTAAGTTGGCTTATTGGTGCTTCATGGTACACGTTGGTTGGTCTCGCTGTGTAGTATTAACTGTTAAAGTTCTTAACTGTATAGACCTCCTGTTGTTATGATTTGAGGTATAAATGTTGTGGAGGGTTTGAGCTAAATTGTGAAATACTTGTTCTTATTTTTGTGATTGGTACCGATATGGTGGGATCGGGTTGCATGTCGTAACAAGAGGAATAAGGGTGAAATGTGATTGTCTGGTAAGATCGGGTTACACACCGCAACAAGGAGTAATAAGAGTGGACAGGTGGGATCAGGTTGCGCGCTGCAACATGAGGAATAAGGGTGATATATTGAGGAGTAATAAGGGTGGACTGGTGGGATCGGGTTGCACGCCGCAATAAGGAGTAATAAGGGTAAATGTTCATATCGTTATTGATTATATGGTGGGACCGGGATTCGCGCCGTGTCAATTGTTGTTTATGTATGTTTCTTCTGTTGAGATACATTATTGTGGTGTTAAAATTCTCTTAAGGATTGGTTATAGTTGAGTACTGGTGGAACAACTGGGTTCCATATTTATCCAATGCAAGTTACTGTCTTATTTCATTTCGTATCTTCTTTTTGCCTTATTATAAAATGTTGCAGGATATATATTGTTTATGCCCCGCCGTAGCCTCGTCACTACTTCGTCGAGGTTAGGCTCTTCACTTACCAGTACACGGGGTCGGTTGTACTGATACTGCACTCTGCACTTTCTGTGTAGATTTCGAAGCTGGTAGTGGCTGATCCAGAGGTCGATTGTTGATTCTTTACTCAGGAGACCCAAGGTAGTCATGTAGGTGTCCGCAAGCCCTGGCGTTCCCTCCTATATTTACTTCATTTCTGTTTTACTTTCTTTGAAACAGATGTATTTTCTTTCAAACCCATTTTTGTAGTTATTCATAGAATGTTCGTGAGTTGTGACATCAGCTTCTGGGTGGTATCAGTTTTGGAGTTGTTAATAGCGTATAGATAATCAGTTACATATGTATTTCCACTTTTATTTCTGTTTGGATCAATTTTTGCGTTAATATTAATTATGAAATATAAAGGAAAAAGGTGATAATAACTCTAACGTTGGCTTGCCTAGCGAGTGCGATGTTAGGCGCCATCACGGTCCCGAGGATGGAAAATCCGGGTCGTGACACATGGCATCCGATCTTAGCCCGATCAGCTAAGTCATCTCACAATAGTACCATGTATATTGGCATGTCTATGCTAGCAATACAATACATCATCCCAATATTAGGGCATAATCTCATAATGGTGCGAAAGGGACTTGTCCCAATGGACTTCTACACCGGCACGTGTAGTTTTGGTATAGGCCTTTCAACCTACACCTTCTCAGTTACATAACAATACTCCCAAAAACATTTCATATAAAGCCTTTCATGAAAACCTTTTATTTTCATTGTCCCTTAGGACATACAATACATCATCATTCTCATTTTGGAAAATTGTCACATTTCATTTTTATGCTTTCACTTTCTTTGTTTTCCATGAGTCATCATAAAACATTAAAGGTATTTAAAGGAATGAGAATCATAGCTACATATACATGAGTAATAAGAACGTAAGGCACTTGGAACATTTCTAAAAGGAGAGCATAGTGATAGTGATTGAAACATGAATTGAACTCATAAGCATTTGATAAGTCAATCATACTTGAAACATTTTCTAAAGCTGAGTATAGATATGGAAATGGATACATGACTTGAGTATATAGGCATTAGATAAATCATTCATTTAAGGCAATTCATAGCAAGGAGTAGGAGCTAGAGCAAACCACATTTCGGGAATGTATGAAGAGTTCATGGAATCCAATTCTACGAAGGGAGTTTTGACAAACATACCTTAATTGATCTTTCTTTAGGATCGCCATGACGTTTCATTACTCTTAGCAACTTCAATCAACATTAACATAGTTCAACTGAACAACTATTAGAAGGATTCTCATAGTTTAGGTCATATACGAATTTCATCAAACACTTAGTGTGCATACTTGACTACAACTCCCTGCAATGGGATTTCTTTGCCTCACAACCAATTTCCAAGCCAACGATTAACCCACGATAGTTCTAAGACAAGCAACCACCTCTATTGGCATATGCATGCACAACCATTTACTCCAAACTCAAGGATCACGTCTTTCATTCTTCACATATACCCAAATTCGAGATTGGGGCTTATGGCTTCCAATCACCATCCTATAAGCCCCAACAAATACAATCCCACTTAAACTCATTATATAAATTTTCATGTGAGCTAGGGATGAAGTCGTATCCGGTTAGTTGAAAACCTAGTGAGTTTTCTTCCTTGAATATTCAAGAAATGGGCATGAATTTAAGTGTGGAGTTGTTAGAGCTCTCCCTTTTTCTCTCTAGAGTGTTTTTCCCTCTCAAAATAGCCAAAACTCTCTTCTAAAATCGATCCTATGTCCTTTTATTAAAAATAGAGTCGGTAAAATGTTCCCAAAAATAACCCTCTAAGTTGGATATGCGATTACAGAATGGACCGCGAAACAGTTATGCGGTCCCTGAAATAGACCAAAGAATGATCCTCAAAATATGAGTTGGAACTGAATAGATATGTGGTGGATATGCAGTTCGCAAAAATGGTTCTGCAGTCGACACAATGCACCGCGAAATCTCTTCAAAAAAATTTCTAACAATTTTGCGACGGGTATGCGATCTGCGAAATAGCTATGCGTTCGCATACCTCACCACGAAATGACCCTCAAATTTTAGTTGCTCCGGCCTCAGTCCGTAATAATTCTGCGGTTAGCGAAACCGATTTGCGGTTTGCATAACTAACTACAAAGTTTCCCTTCCTACCTATTCTTCAACCCCCTTCACGATGCATTGCATAGTCCACAAAAGCTTGAAAATTATCTACAATCTTCTGAATATAATAGCTTGACCTTGACACTATAAGATCTTCAATACTTGACGAACTTTTACGAAGCCTTACATTCTCCCCCGCTTAGGATCATTCATCCTCGAATGAGTATTAGAGTCCGCCATAGACACCCAATATAATTTATCTCCTCATTCACACACATGAATAGCTCAGAATTAACTACCCAAATTTCCAGAAATTTCGATAGAGTTTCCTCTGTATTTGGGCCTTTCCACCTGTCAGGGAGCCATAAAAACCAATCCTAATAACACATTCACACCCAACGACGTAACATAAATATGAAAACAACACCAACCACAATTATATATGCATTACATTGCCAAAAGGGGCATCCTATCATAAGTTGTATAGGTTTAGAACATAGCTTGTAAAAACTAAACTTCTAACATTATTTTAGACAGAACCATTTGGTTCTACAAACAAATGGGGACATTTCTTATTCATATCTTCCTCTGCCTCCAAGATGGTCTCCTCAACTTGTTGACTTCGCAATTGCACTTTGACGGAGGTAATCTCTTTATTCCTCAACTTACTTGTCTATCAAGGATGGCAATCAGAACCTCCTCATAAGTCAATTCTTCATTAACTTCAATAGCCTCCACAAGGACTATAAAACCTTAAATCCTTGACGAACTTTTATGGAGACATACAAAGGTTGTAGCCGTTGAAGCCTTGTGAGAGAGAAAGGTATGTTCTTTTCTCCAGAAATTTTCTAATCAGACAGTCTGTTTCAAATAGTGTTTCTCGACTCCTTAATTGTTGGATCATGCTCAAATTTGAACTAGGAGTTCTCAACATCTTGTTCTTGGATTTCATTGTGGAAGATTAGTTAAAGGCATGTAGCTTCGTTTTGGAGGCTCATGTTTGGGGTGATTATCTCATTTTTTCCAATTATTTTGGTGCAATCTTATTTATATTATTGCTCTTAGTTTGGCACTTGTTTTGTGGAAAATTTAAAGAACTTTTGAACTCTTGTTGATTGATTTAGTGGAGCTTTGAAGGCCTTTGGTCTCGTGGTTTTACTCTTCATATTGAAGAGTTTTTCATGTAAAATTTGATGTCTCGTCTGTGATTTTTTTACTTTTCCATATTCGTGTTGGTTGATATACTTGCTGCCTATATAAGTCTGTGCTTGAATTTTTTTTTCTCTTGGTGAAAATAGATTGGAGAAGTTAGACTTGGATACTATTCCACTGCTACCTTGTCGTGCACATTTAGTCTCTGAGGTTTAATTAATTACAATTCTTGGATCATTAGTTTACTTATAGTCAAATTCAGTCCTTAGTTATTTTTGTTTAGTCCTTGAAAATTGATTGCCTAATTAGCTGCAATTTGTCTAGTTGTTAAGAAGTGTTTTTACATTCCTTTCTATCCTTTTGTACTCGCTCCTTTTCCAGCTATGTTAATGAAATTGTTATTTCTTCCTTTAAATTTTTCTTTAGCTTTCCTTTTTCTTTTCCTTTCAAGTTTCATGACGGGAATCGTTACAATTGGTATCAAAGCCATGATTCTCGGTTGTTCATCGATGTTAATGGCGGAGTCCGGTAGAAGTGCCAATCAGTTGGAGCAACAAATTTAAACTTTTATGGACAGATCGAACAGAAGACTATAACATATGGAAGAATGGTATCAAAATTGTATTGGGACCTTCCATAGTTCAGCAAATCAATATGACTTTTAAAGGTTGGAGAGTGAAGAGCAGGTTTCCAGTGACCCGCACGCTTATCATCAGTATTCTTGCGCAAACACACATTTCTATCATGAGTCCTTTATGGATTCTGCACAAATTCTTTTGGTGTTACTGTTGTTGATGCTACTGGAATTATAGAGGATCTAAATATGGGAATAAAAAAATACATCAATTAACCAAGTTCAGACATATGCACAATTCCAGGCGACCAATTTATCAGCATTCAATATTGGGAGAATCTTTATCCAGGATGGAAGTTTGATGCCACTACTGGTCAGTGGCATTAGTTAGATAGTTACAAGTACTGATTCTTCTCCTTCTGGTCATATTTCTAAGGAAACATCGGAGGTTCTTTACTTACAGAATTCTTACCAAGTTCAAAGGATGGAAAGGGAGAACCCGTTTCTATCAAGCCCCAATTTTTGCAACCACAGACATGTATGTTGAATTGCTCTCATTGGTTCGAGAAAACATTCATAAGATCGAAGAAATTGTACACAACATAGGACAAATGGAATCCGGTCAACAATCCAACATAAACGCTCAGTTCCAATGATATGCAGCTTCAGTGATTCCAAATTACGTAAGTGAACTTATGCTAAACTGATTTCCTGGTATTATGGGTTTACTTTGATCCAAAACTACAGAGAAGTTGAAGTACTGATATCGTGAGATAATTCCATATATTTAGACATTATTTACCCTACTTGCTTGTTTTTTGGATGATAATTTGTGTGACGATTGCGCTTAACAGGGCTTATTTCATGTGTAGGAATGCTTGGACATGAATTGGAGAAAAGTTGCATGAAATGGTATCTCAGAGCTACAAAATGGAGCAATAAAAGAAGAGGTGCAAGGCAACGAAAATTCAGTGCCATAGACAAAACCTTGCACAATAACAACAGTGCCATAGACAATGCAAGGCAGTGTCCAGGGCACTGTCATCAGTGTCATAGACAGTGCCTTGCGCAGAAAAGACAATGCTACAGAGAGTGCCTTGCACCTAAACGACAGTGCTACAGGCAGTGCAAGGCGCCAACGATGTCATCCGAAAAAAAGTTTCATTCCTCATTAATATTGGACATGTAAATTTGGCCCTTACCCTATCCTTTTATTTGTAGTTTAATGCTTCTAGATATTACTATGATTATTTACACAGTTATGAGTAGCTAAAATCCCGTCATCTGGGGTTGATGGAACCAATTGTTGGATGAAGTCTTGATTGTGTTTTGATATAATTGAGCTGTTATTACTCTTTAATTGTTCAACTATATGTTACTTGTGATTAATTGAAGGGCCCTTGATTAATCGTGTCTAGTTATCTTGTGTTGTTTGAGAAAGAACACTTGATTAGATTGTTCTTGAACAACGCCACTTTCGAGTAAGTTAAGAGATTAATTACTTGAATTTAAAAGCAAGATTAGAGATAACGAAGCTTGGGCGATATTTATGAGTTGTATGAATTGTCAACTAGAGTAGTTCGAGAGAATACTTATAGTAAATTATCGTAATTGATCGAGAGATAATTATGGTAAACAATAACTCATCATCTTTAGAGAGTGTTACGGCGAGATTATAGCTAGCGTATCAGGAATTAATCCGATAATTTGGGGAATCGTAAACCCTAGATCTTTTTATCCTTGAATTCAACTTCATTCTTGCTCATTGATAGTTTTTATTGTCATGTTTCCACAGTTAAATAATTTATGTTAATTCTCAATTCAAGTTTTGAACTCTGAAAATTGTCTGAGCTTATCATTAGCAATACTAAAAGTTGTAGCAAATAGGTTACTTCCCTATGGGATTCGACTCCGGACTCTTGAACCGGATTATTTTTGCAGTGACCACTTGGTCTTTTTATAAGGCTTAGTTGGGCGTGATCAAGTACTCACAAGTGAAATAATTTTGGAGCCATTATTTTGGAGCTCAATAAAAGTTCCTCTGTTTTTTGTGAAATTCAGGATAATGTGGGAGCTGAGAATGGTTCTGATTTTGGAGATATTGAGGTTGTAGTGGAAGATGATAAAAAAGAGGAGGAAGTAAAGGGAGTAAATTTGGAGAAATTGGAGCGGGTGTTGTCTCTGTTGCAGATATAGTGATATTGTTTACAGATCTAGACAGTCTAGCCTTGAGGAAACTGGGTTGTATTTGATTGAGGAGTACATGGATGAGTGTTTAGCGGCTGAACTTGTGCCTTATGCTGTAGATGGGCGGATCAATGTGTTTATACAGAACCAAGTTGAACATGTTGACTTCAATATTTGGGTTCAATCATTTGGACAACAAGGTGTTTACACCTTGGCCCGGCTTCATTATTAGAGTATGTCAGCAATAGTTCCTTGCAGTTGGGAGATGAGACTACATGTTCAGTAGAGAAAATAAGAAGTTCCATGACTGAGCAGTTGAGCAAGAAGTTCCTTGCGGTTATAATCCCATTGTGGCTTCAAATTTGGTGGGCAGTGGTAACTTTTATTAATATTGTTCATTTTCTCAACTTTGACCATCTTTTAGCTTTATCATGGGAACACGTCAACCATTTTTTCCAACTCCATAATGTATTAATTTCTAGCATAGTGGGACTCGGCCAGTTGCTCTTAATTTTCAGAACAGTAGGATATGCTTGGTTGAAGATTTTGTCGTCTTTGATGAACGGCGAATTGTTCGTCAAGCAGAACTTGTGTCATTCAAACAAGTGGATGGACCTTTAACCTTTAATAATTAAACCGCTCTTACCCATAAGTGAATTATCGGTCAGCTTTTGTTGACTCGAGTTAAGCATCTTTATCTTTTTCAGTACCCCAGCCGGCTACAGAGGTTCTCTGCTGAAGCAAACATGATTAATCTTTCCTAGAGAAGGTATAGATTTTCAAGTTAGAGAGAGAAATCGGCTCTCTTGTTAATTTTAAATTGTTTAGATCAAGTTAAATGTAAAAGACTTCTATATCTGATATGACTTAATAACTGAACTAAAGATAACTCCTCTAGAAAGAAAGAAGATCCACTCTACCACAAATGCGAACAGGAACCGCAAGTGCCCTTCAGAAAACAAAACAAGGCAGCAATCAGAAAAAAAAAAAAAAAAAGTCAAAATAATGTGGACCGCCATCCGTTTTGCAAAGAGTAGTAGTCAATCAAAGTCAAAATGAAGAGGACAAACCATCAGATTTTGAACCAAAACTAATCCAAAAAGAAAGGATTAATTTTAAGAATTGTTTAAAAAATAGGAGGATATCAACCACACGATTCATCATTGCTGATCAGAACCGAGCATGTTCAAAGCATTGAGTATGAAAGTGTACGTAAAGGCATCCTCCTGGAGCTTCTCAAATCTGCACCAGACAAGGAAGTAAGGTTAAAACTGTGACAAAATTAGATGTATGATTTTCTCTATGTTTCTCCTTTTTTGAAAAATTTCTAGCAGGACAATTGCTAATAGAGAATGGAACTCTATAGATTTTAGTTTGAAAGTGGAACGGAAATACGAAAACCACGTGCAATGATTATGAACTATATCGTGAAACTGGATTCTCACAATCAAATTTCAAGAATCAAATTCCTGTTACTCCATTTTGTGCCTTAAACACACAGAGTTCGGCAGGAAACTTGAGCAAATGAAAATATGAATGACATGGAGAAGCTATTTATGAATATCTCACTCAACTTTGTACATTCTCCATTTTCCATCGGAACATTTACAAATTTTCAAATTGTCATAATGCAAAAATAACAGACAGTTAAGAATTAGAAATTTTCTTACTTATAAAACCCAAAAAACTTTGAAGGAATTTCAATGACTTGGTCCGTCCTAAAAGCTAGATATTTAGTGAATTTTTTTTGTTGGTATAAACAGAACATTGTAGATAATGTTGTATACATTCTGGATTTGGTAGGCTCGCTGTATTTTGGTTAGCAATGGCAAGGAACATGTAAAGGGGCCCAATTTTTTGCCTGAATTGTACTTCTGATGAGATGTACTTCTTTGCATGCACTGGATGCATATCAATATAATTTCATTACTTCGTCAAAAAAAGAGAACACCGAAGCATTATCTAAAGAAGGGAATCCAAGTCCTTAGATAGGAAAAGGCCTTTTATCCTCTTATATATTCTTTAACCTTTTAAAGTCACATGGAAAAGAAAAAAAGATATCGGTTTCGGCCCTAGTATACGAAGAGCACGTTTTCTTTGAAGTTGCTTCGCTTCACCAGCGTGGAGCGAGGACCCCTCACTTATGCTTCATTGCTTTATGTGTCAAATAGATGGCTTTTAATAGCATTAGTATGAGACTATGATCTTAATTCCAGAAAGCAGAAATATACTTCAGAATCTTGATAAGCCATGTATCTTCCATACATATTCAAAGAGGAAGAAGCAAAGATATATAGGAGAAGATAATGATGTGCTTCTTCTCAAATTCCTGGAGCTTCCAAACATGGAGGATTAAGCAGTTTCCTACGGTTATTAGAAGTTATCTGTTAGCAATTTATTAAGGTTAGTAAAAGATATCTATCTTTATCCTAACTTGGTTATGGAATAGTCTAAGTTGCTCTGACACGGGTACGGGTGTCCGACATGGGTGCGGATCTAGAGGTCGGATCCTTTAAGATAAAAAATTTAAGATTTGGGGATACGGATCCTAAAACCGACACGGGTTCGGGGATCCGGCTAAAAATAATTTAAAAATAAAAATAAATATATCTCTAAATTATGTGGAGTACTTACCTATAAGATATTAGCCTACTATAATCGGTTAAAGTGCCCCAACAGTCTTGATAGTCTCAACGTATATAATATAAAATCTTATAAATATAACTTTTTCTTTTTATTCTTTTTTGTTTTGCGCAAATCAAAAAATTGAAGCTCAAAGCACACTTATATTAATATTTTCTACATAACGTGGTTATAGAGGAGACAGCTATAATTTGATGGGAGACAGCTAAAGGCCTACTTATATTAATATGGTCAAAAAGCTCACTTTTTTAAAAGTGCTATAGTACTTTTTGTAATTTGATGGGAGACAGCTAAAAGCCTGAAACACTCCATTATGTAACCCCATTATCTCATAAACTATTGAAAAAATGTGTTGTCAATTAAAAAGTATTCACTTCCTAATTTGTCCCACTCTTCTTCATCCATTCTTTGTTGCCTCTTCTCTTTCCATGTATGAGACATTTCCCCAGCAAAACATTTTTCATGTCTGTATTTTTTTCCAGTAAAAAACTCAAAACTCATTCGAGCCCTTCCTACGAGCTCTTGATTTTAGAAACATACAACATGAACAAGAAGATTGACCAAGACAAAAAGCTTCAAAGAAGATAAAAGGACTAGTATAAATTACTACATAGCAGTGAAATTGAAGGTATTTCGTTTCTCATCTCTTCAGATCTTTACTTAGTGAAATCAACTGGAAAAATTTTTGGTCAACGCACCCGATGTTGTCTGACCAGATCCAACACAAATCCCACACCCTTACCCGTGTCGTGTCGACACGGGTACGGCACTCAAATTGCCGTGTCCGAGCAACTTAGAGAATAGTTATGCTCAGCCTATTATATAAATAATAGATCTTGTAATGTATAGGTATATGGTAATTATTATCCTTTATATGAAGACAGATTATTTTATAAAATATGGGATGTTTGTCTCTATTATTAATAATATCAATGTAGATTCTTTCTTTGTTTCCATTATAAAAATCTCTGCTCCTATCATTCATTGGTATCAGAGCAGTAAGATTTGCCATGGTGAATACACCACGGACCAACGCTCCCACATCGAACTCATCATTCTGACTATTGATCCGATCACCCAACAATTGACGACTATAGCAATGAAATTGGAGGCCATAGATGCTTTGGCCGCTGATGTGGTTGTCTTAAAGGCACAAAACAGTCTGAGCCAGCATGGTGCAGGCGATAACAGTGGAGATCACAACAATAAAGGGAAAGCTAAAGCACCAGAGGATGGCAAGGTTGATATCACTTGGTCGCATCGAGAAACTTCCCGTCATTTGCAGACAAAAATGCAATTTTCGAAGTATGAGAGAGGTGATCCTCGAGGTTGGATTCTGAAGAGAAGTTGATTATTCCGATCACTTTCAATTCTTTTTATTCCGATCACTTTCAAATTTTTTTTGGCAGCTAAAGTGTTCCCTTCCATGTTTCAGCGAGATACAATTGATTATTTTCATTATTTGTTTCTGGAACTCTCTCCAATCTAACGATGTCTTCGAGATTTGATGTACTTGGTTCTAAAAACACAGGTTCTGGAAATTCAGCCTTTATGATTACTTCTGAACCCCTACTTGGG